TCAAATTAAAATATTCTGTCAGTGTTGTGCCTTCTTCAGGTAAAAACTCTGCACTATATTTGAATTTAAATCTGCCATCGCTGTTGGCTGAGATGTACCCTACGACGTTAGCTGGTACCATATGATGTCACAATGCTGCTGTCAGCCTGTGTGTGTGTGTATTTGTTGGCGGCTCTACCTGCTCGGTCTGCCAGGCGACGCCTCCTTGTGGTGCATTTTTCAAACAGGAAATGGAGTGGAGTTAGACTCTGGTAGAGGCTGACTCGCTCTTTAACTGCAGATAGTGAAGGCTTTGTGCTTTATATAGTTTGGCTGGCACATTTCACGTTTAAAGCTATGCAACTTTTTCATTGTTTCAAATCATTTTTTGAGCCAGTATGTGCTAAAGTGAATGAAATGTCACTCAGACCCTTCAGCTACCTGTGGCCAGAATATCGCATTTGCATTTTCAGACTGGCGGGGTGCAAACTGTTGGACTTGGAAAAAAAATGGAGCTGAAACACCTGGCACAGCAGTCTGCTTCCAGCACGTGCCCTGCATGTTTTAGATCATGAGCATAGCTGATTTGCATATTTACTCTTGTAGAAACTCGGCAGTTATTAAGAATTTTAAAAAAAGAACGCACCACAGAGAATTAATAGCCAACACTAGGGGGTGCTAAAAGCAAGTAAAACTGCCAAGTGTGCCTTTAAAGAATTTTCTGAGGGCTTACTTTGTTATTTTGTATCACATTTTTGCTCAAATAAAATATGTATAAACAATGAAAAGGGAAATGAGCCCAGAGTTTTACAGGAATGACCTTTAATTACAAAGCACCCGAAAGTTATAGATCATTGCTCCTTGTGTTGAATTTGTTCTCTTTTTTCGTTTGTTCGTTTGCATTTTCTTCTCTTGTTTTGAGGCGTGCACTGGCAACTTCAGCATTCTGAGATCTTTATCATTTCCATAGTAATCAGGCTGTTTGAGGATTTTTTCCCATTAAAACTTTAATCAAACATCTCAGACTCTCTCCTCCAACCAGAATTGTGTTATTCCGACAGAACAACAAAAAAGCATGCAGTGAAACCCGGAGGATCTTCCCTCCTCTTTGCTACAGCTGCAGGATGGAGGGCAGCTTTCCAAACATACCCTGCTACTCTTCTTTCTTCTAAATGTCCGTGTGTTGGAATAGAATCCCCAGCTGAAGCCAGAATAAGAAAGAATGTAAAGATGTGTTCTGTAATGTACACAACAGTACAGACAGACCAATGATCTCTTCCTCAGTGAGGGTGTGATTACATTTGCCGTTCTTCTAAGAGTTTGGAGGGATCGTTTGATTGACATCTAATTATTGTAAAAATACACTTCATATGCACCGTACCATATGTAGCAGTGAGGATTGACAACATGTTTGTTAAGTGATCAATAAGATGTGATATTATAAATATGAAATATAAATCTGATCGATCTTTGAATGTTTGATTTAGATTACTCTAGGTTCTTTGTACTATTCAGGGAACACACACTTCATATTAATTCAGACAGACGATGATAAAACCTTGTAAGTATCTGAGAGATTTTGTGATGTCTGGGATGTAAAATCTGTTTGACTGTATGGTTTAATAAGACAGAGATTATTTATAAAGCCATCCGACACAATCGTGCAGAGTCTGTGAATTCTTGTGTGACTGTCGCTCTCAGCGGTCCAGACAAAAGGCAGCCAGAGTGATGATTTACCGGACGTTGTGGTTACAGGAATCCCAAAGAGCCACACTTCCCTTTGAACTCAGATTTCTTATCCGGTCATGTGATGCAACCAGGATCTGTAGGTTAGACCTTCAACGTCTGAGATGTTGTGGTGTCTGAAATCACTCACAAGAATAATAATAGTAATAAAAAATCAAACCTTCACTTTTTAATACTTGGTTGCTAATCCTTTTCAGTCAATTACAGCCTGAAGTCTGGAACGCTAAGACATCACCAGATGTTGGGTTTGATTCCTGGTGATGCCGTGCCAGGGCTATACTGCAACCGTCTTCAGATCCTGCTTGTTCTTGGGGCCTTTCCTTTCAGTTTTGTCTTCAGCAAGTGAAATACATGCTCAGTCAAATTCAGGTCAGGTGATTGACTTGGCTATTGCATAATACTCCAATTGTTTGGGACGTTTCACCCATTGGTGGAGACAGATTTCAAACTGCTGTTGTAAATTTGTGTAGAATATTTTTGAGCTGAAGAGGGCGCTGGAGTGAAGGTTTTAGGCTGAATTTTAAGTTTTTGCAGAAAATGCACCAAAATGCAAAAATAACTACTACACATGTCTACAACACTATAATACAGGTATTTATATAAGTTATCAGCAAAAAAGAGTTGATTTTGGTGTGACTTGCTCCTTAAAAATCTCTGGTTGCTTTTGCAGTATGCTTTGGGTCATTGTCCATCTGCACAGTAATGCGCCGTCCAATAAGTTCTGCAACATTTGGTTGAGCAGATACAATTGCCCGAAACACTTCAGAATTCATCCTGCTGCTTTTGTCAGCCGTCACATCATTAATCAATACAAGAGTACCTGTTCCACTGGCAGCCATATATCCACGCCATGACTTGCCATGCCATGCTTAGGATCATGAGCAGTTCCTTTTCTTCTCCGTATTCTTCTCTTCCCATCACTCTGGTACAAGTTGAATCTTGGTCTCCTCTGTTCACAGGATGTTCCAGAATTGTGAATGCTTGTTTAATTCAATTCGATTCGAATCAAAAATACTTTATTAATCCCATGAGGGAAATTGATTATTATTGATTAAGATGACACTTGGCCAACTCTAATCTGACCTTCCTGTTTTTGAATCTCACCAGTGGTTTACATCTTGTGGTGAACCATCTGTATGTTCTCTGGTGAAGCCTTCTCTTGATTCTTGACTTTGACATGCATACACATACCTCCTGGAGAGTGTTCTTCATCTGGCCAACTATTAAGAAGGGTGCTTTCTTCACCAGGGAAACAATTCTTCGGTCATCCATCACTGTTGTTTATCCATGGTCTTCAGGGTCTTTTGGTGTTGCTGAGCTCACCGGTGCGTTCCTTCTTTTTGACAATGTTCCAAACAGTTGTTTAGGAGACGCCTAATGTTTTTGCTATCTCTCTTATATTTCCTGTTTTTACACAATTAAGCCTACATTATGTCTAATATGCTAATATGTAAGTCATGAAAAGGAAAACACGATGCTTCTGTCATTTATGTATTCATTGATTTGTTAAAATAAAAACCATTCTAACAGTTCTAAAAGGTTGATGAAAATCAAAGGCAAGGCTAACGGTGATCTACAGTTAGACATGCTATCACTAACGTTACCTACTACTAAACTTTTTGATGTAATGGAACATTATTGTTTCTTCATTAAAAAGCATTTGTTTGTTTTAAGAAGTAGTAGTATAGATACTAAAATGGTTGTGATGTGTTTATCGAACATGATTTGCCAAAACAAATAATGTGGCAAGATGATAATATATGGTTCCCTTTTGTTTTTAGTATCATGTGTTGATATTGCGCAGTGGCCTAAAGCAACAAGCAGTACAATGTACTGTGCCCTAATCTGCCCCAGAGCCAGCAGCCAGTGTACAGGACCAGTAGCTCTACTGATATGAATAGAGTTAAGTGTACGATTTGTAATGCTGACTTAAACAGTAAATACAGCAAAAACATATTTGTTTTATATTTTTACCCTCTAATTTCAGATTAGGCTCATGGATGACCACAGAGGCTGAGTCCTCTGCACATTCCTACTTGTTTACTTTTGGTACTAGAAAATACTATTCAATATTTGTATGCTTGATAAGTACATTTTCTTACATGAATTGTCTCTGTGTCTTTTTTATTTGAATTGTGTGATACCAATTGTTTAAAAATAATTCACAGCAATGGTGGGACATAGTTTAATCTGTACAGATTGAAGGCGTTGGTTATGTCAGTGGACTAATGTCTATATATCAACAGTAGCTCATGAGCACCACAGGGGGAAAAAATCTCCACTGACTTCTGGATGGCAAAACATTAGCATGCATCAACAATTTGTAAGGACATATCTAAGAGAACATAAAGAACCATACTAATTCTATCATAATCCAATTTGTCAGTGGGTAAATTGCAACCGACTATATAGTTGGGATTTTTGACTGTTGCTCTTATGTTTAAACAATGTTTATTATTCAAAATTATTTAAATAAATTTAATAATCAATATTATCCCTACCTTATTTTGAAATATTGATTGAGATCAGATATGAAGTAACAATTCATGATTGAATAAGGAAGGAGGATGTGTTTCTGTTTTTGAAGGGTGGTGTTCTCGTTTACAAACCAAAATGCCTCTTTTAGCTGCTGGCCAGATGATATTGTATGTCCTGAGATGTACTTTCTTCATACACATACTCATCATCTGCTGCCAACTGCTCTATGTCACTCATATTATTTTTAATGAACTTTCTCTTTTTCACTTCTTCCTCTAGTCTAGTCTTTTTGACATCTAAATATAAGGTAAAAAAAATAAAGTCCTGATAAATCCCCTTTCAATATTTTTTCATCTTATTATTTTATTAGCTAAAGTGTTCTCTTGTTACATTTTACAAATTGAATGGAAATTAGTTTAGGTACATGGCAAAGTAATTTCTCATTCAGTGGTGAGAGAACCTTCAAGGAGAAAGCAACATTTTCATTTGCTTTTAATGAATTTCCTAGTAAAGTAGTTCATCGTTTATTTCTGGCAAAACCTAGTCTGCCATTAGTCGCTAAATTTAATGAATGACGGGAACGTTGTTTCCTTGAGTGCTACAATGGCTTGCCCTAATCCAAGGATTCACTCAAATCCCGTGAGGCGTTTAGCGTCTCAACATAGTTTAGATATGATTTACTTTCAAAAATATCAACAATCAATTACAAATTTGATCAAACAATGCCTGTATATACTGATATCTAATGATGTGGTTAAATTGGGGAAATAACTGATTGTCTTGAGACTCTGTAGTTTATAAAATCCCACTTAGGGAGTTTGAGCAGTGCTGCTTTGAACGCACCACCAGCATGCTCCCATAGCGGTTTATCCGATTGGTCAGATCACGAGCCAGACCAGGAAGATGGGAGACGATTTGGGTGACGAATGGTGGAAACGTGAAGGTAATTCATTATTGTTTAAAAATCTTTACATATTTAAGTTATATTTAAACAATCTTAGTTCGTTTCGGGTTATGTGAATTACCGGAAGCTCTCGCGAGAAGTATATACTAGCGAGATGCTCACGTGGGTTAGCAAACAAACATATTTACCACCCATTAACATTAAGTCAACAACAAATAAAAACACAGAGTGTGTTTTGTGTGGCTAGACAATGATTTGTGTTATGTCTACACCGAACAAAGTTTCGGTAAAATGACTTTTAATGAACGAGGGCTGCGTCACACGTGTTGGTGAACGTCTGTGTTAAACTCCCTTTTGAAAAGCTGTAAGCGTCTTGTGCGCCATCTGTTGTGTCCTAAACCATTACCTAAACTAAGAATCAGCTGTGCTTTTACACATAACTCTTTGTGCATTCATTCGGCTATGTCCATTTCCATATGCATACATCAACAGAGGAAGCTCCATGCAGCTACTTCTAGCAAAGCTTTGTGTTAGCTGTGTACCAATAGAGGGCAGTCATTTAAAGTTAGTTTAACGGTTTTTCATGAACATCAACGTGTTGGCTTTGCTTTGAGCAGAAAAAACTCATGTACACCTTCAGTGAGTAAAAGAAAGGCTTTATTTAGAATCGGTAACAACATCCATCACCATAGAAATACACATAAATAGAAGTCTACGTCATTGTTTTTAAACATTCCTATGCATTGTAGAGAAAGGCTTTTATTTACTAAGTTTTAGGATGCAACAGTTGAATTATATTTAAAACCCAGTTTTTATGTTGCGTTATTTTTTCTTGTTAACTTTAAAAACCCAGTACAGAATGGCATCATTGTGTCACGCCACTTAAGTAAATTATTTACTTTCTTTACTCAGAGCCAACAGTGTAATAATAACTAATGTACATCATTGCTCCTAATGGTAAAACAAAGAAACATCATTGAAGGCCCTAAAACCTTCTGGATATATCTAGATCCATCTAATACCCCGAGGGGTGTCCAGCTGTTTCTTTTCCTCTCTCGTTTCCACAACCTTGACTAAAATGCTGAGAGAATTGGCAAGGCTGACTGAACAGGACGTCTGAAATCAAAACTGACTGAATGAACCAGACAGACAGATTTAAGTTTATGTGTTTTGGGTTCACTGATAAACCAGATTTTCAGGAGAGCTTATGTCAAGCTACGCTGTCCTGTGCTAAAATGGCAACGTCTTACACAAATATGTTGTTTTGGAGCTAGTGCATGTGGTCCAGCATCCAAAACACAACATATGCTGTTTATTTCAGTAGGGTATTTATTTATCCTTAGTGTCTCTACAGTTTTTCAAACTCTTGGGTATCTCTTATGAAAGTAAGATGATTTCAAATTCATCACTAAATGTAGTTGAATGTGCAGAAGATGGTGAAAATATTTTATTTACATTGGACATACAGTGCAGTTTTTAAGAAATCATCAACATGAAAACAAACCATTCTTACATTTATTTCCTGTTGCTGCTGCAAAATTATACATTAGAAGGAAAAAAATAGAAGGCACGCTGAATCTTTTAGGTTTCTTTTGTCAACTTATGGAAAGCAAATCAGAGGAATGGGAAAACATGTTTTAAACCAGTCATGTATTACTATTTGTCAGCATGTCAGACTTTAATTATTACAATTCAGTAATTTGTTTTGCACATTTAATACTGTTGATGCTTGAATTTCCTTTTTACTAATTGGTTCTTTCAGTTTGATTTGTAAGAGCAAGTTCCCAGCCTCTGTGAAGTATAAATGATAAAAGCAACAGCAAGAAAAACTCTTTTAATGAACAGAACATAAAACTTTTTAAAAGCAATAATGAGAACCCTATAGTGTGACATGTACGGTAAACACTGAGTTACAACAGTGACTCATTAAGATATATGAGTTACACTTAAGTGTAAAGTATGAAAGTTTCTTATGGGTGCCTAAATAGTAATGATTAAATTAAACTGGTGTCATTTTATTTTATAATAGATATATTTGGTCTAATCACAAAGGCCACTAACTGTGATGTTTGAGTGTGATGCAGAGGCATTAGCAGGGGAAATGGTGATGCTACTTGTAATCTTTCCAACACCTTTAACATGGCAGCCGTTAGCGATTACATGAGTCGTTTGCTCATGCCGGAGGTAGTAAGGCCCAACGGTCTGAGGAATGCTGTGGGTAATGCCGTTCAGAGGATGGATGGACGGGCTTCCCAGGTGAATATGGATCTTACTATCATCTGCTGGGATGATGCTGGGACTTGAGTCATTGCTGTTGGATCGTTGATACTGCCAGCTGTTCAGTCGATCGGGAGTCTTGCAGAAAAGAGCCTGGGTTGTGACGTCCGCGGGCTCAGGAGAGCAGGTTTTGACTGTGACGATCTGAATTGGTGAGTTGTTGTCAGGTGTGACGGAGCGGGACGTTTTTGGACTCAGCACTCGAGACACCGGCAGATCGCTCACCGGGGAAAAGTTGCGGTCAGGACTTGAAGAGGGGGTCTTGGGATTGCCTGCTGGTGAGCCAGAGTTCTGGATGATGGTTATTCTCTGCTTCGGCGAGGCTCCACTTGCTGGTAGGGCAGCTGTGCTGGTGTAAGATGCATCTCTGGAAGGGCTGGTGATCTCCAGTGTGGCCGTGTTGAGTGTATGATGTGGCGTTACTTTAATCTGCAAGGGCTGCCCGGGTGTGTGTGTTAGTGTCATCACCTCTCCGTTAGCATTTGGGTGGAGGTCGACCTCTGAGCGGCTGTTGTATTCACTCATGTTATTTGCTGTGTTTAGGCCATTGACAAGAAGCTTTCCTTCATTTGTGGCTTCCAAGTGGGTGTTTGGGTCCTCATCTGCGTTTTCTGTAGTTAGCTTCTCGTTGCACCTGTAGGAGTCCGGAAACATGCTCTCTACAGGTTCAGATTGTTGCTCTGTGGTGGTTTGACGATGGTGTGAGACATTGTTATTGTTCTGGATTTGTTTATACCTGTCCAACTCACTCGTCAGTTTCTCCATCACCCCGGCCAGATCTTTGTTCTTGGCTTCCTGCTGGGTCAGTTTCCTCTGCAGCGTTGACCGATCCGTCTGCACCTTACAGATAGACTCCTCCGTCCCCACCAGCTTCTGGAGCTTCTCCTTGAGGGTTTCAACTTCTCTGGTTAGGAGTCTACATTTCACTTGCTCCTTCTGGAGGTGGCAGAGAAGAAGATGCTCCTGATTGACCTCCTGCTTCTCTCCCTGCTTGTACTCAGAAAGCTCCTTCTTTGCTACCTCCAACTCCCCCGTTAGACCTCTAGACCTCCTCTGTTCCGCTTTCAGCCTCTTCTCTAGAGACTCAAAACTCTCCTCCACTTTGCTCAGCTCTCCCTCTATTGTCTCCTTCTCTTGGAGTCTTCTTCTCAGTTCATCTAGCTCCTTTGTCAGCTCTCTGACCTTGTTGTCCTCGGCTTGGCAGGGATAGTTGGTATTGTTTGGGATGGAGATGTTTGTGTACTTCTCTTCTTTCTCTTTCCTGTTGTCAAAAATGTTAAACTTTTTCTGCATTGTAGATATTTTGCCCTGTAGCTCTCTATTTCTCTCCTCCTCTGTTTTTAGTCTGTCTTGCAGTTCATCTTTTTCCTTTATTATGACCTTAATCTTGTCTTCTAAATCTGTCTTAGACCTCAGCGCCAGATGCCTCTCCTCTCTCAGTCTCTCTGTCATTGTTGCTAAATTACTTTGCTCATTTCGTTTGCTCTCCTTCCTATTAATCTTCTCCTCTGCCTGGAAAAGCCTCTCGGCCATATTCTTCCTGTCCTCCACCAGGGCCATCGTCAGTGACCTTAGTTTACTCAGATCCTGTTTGATAATCATTTCGCTCTTTTCCAGTCGTCCCTCTACAGCCTCTAGGTCTCTCACCCTAAGTCTTAGCACATCGAGCTCCCCAGACACCCCCTTGCTGAACTCTCTCTCTCGCTCCAAATTACTCCTCAGAATGCTACAGTCTTGTTTGCTTTTGCCCAAAACCTCCTCTATCCTGTCCAGTTCACAGATTCTGCCATTGAGCTTCTCCACCTCAAACTTCAGACTTCGGCATTGACTTGTCTCTTTCGCCAGCCTGCGATCGAGGTCCCGACATTGATCCGCCATCCGTATCAGCTCTTCATCCTTTCCCTCCATTTCCACCACCCTTCTTCTCAGCACCTCCACCTCCGTCAGTGGGCTCTGGGCCATCATGCTGGTCCAGTTTTGGTTGGAAACTTTGAGCTGCTCCACCCCGGGTTGCAGGTATTGAAGCTGCGTTTCCACTTCTGCACCAACTTTAGCGGCGCTGACTCTCTGCTCAGTTTGCTCAGCGGTGGTAGTTGAGTGTTCAGTGCTATGATTCTACTGATTCGCCACCAGTTTGCTCAGACGCTGTTGCTCTTTCACCAAAAGCAGCGCCAGAGCCTTCAACTTACTCGCTCCTCTTGTTTTTCCTCAGTCCTGCTCTCCTGTTTTTCCTCTCCTTTAGTAATAAGAGGTCGAGTCTGCAGAAGTAAAAGAAAAAAAAACTGAATTTATGTCTTCCTGCGAGAATTTGTTGGGTTTTTTGTTGTGTTTCATGTTCCCTAGTCACATGCACATCAGGTAGATAGATCAGTATGTTTATCTACTGTTGGGCTTTTCCCTGTTGGCAGCAAACAGCCTGTAGGATGTTTTGATGGACATGGCAGATGGTCCCTTGGCAGGGATTGTTAGTTAATTAAGAAGTTCTTCTACCCCTGAGTACCTTCAGCTCTGCAGCCAGGCTCCCTCCCCCTCACGCACCGGGGAAGCTACCACATATCCAGCTTGGAGAGGCAGGAATCCCCCCCCCCCCCCCCCCTTCTTAAAGTAATTACAGCCCGGCTACTTTTAGCATGTGTTGTCACTCATCAACATTTCCCTCCATGCATACCGCAAAATGTATTAAACAAGCACCTTTTTGTCATTCTTTACGACCTGTTCCCATGTGGACTGGTGAGTTTGGGGTATCCGCAGCTGGTGCTACATAGTAAAACCCAAAGAGATTGCCCGTTTTTAGTTTCCAGTGTTTCCCTACGTCGAAAGTTGTCACAAGTGTTGATAAAAGTAAAACTATGCTACATACTTTTGTGTCTGAATAAATGTTTATCGTTATATCAAAGAATCGTAAAACACAAAAAGCCTAAAAAGAGCAACAGAAACTAGTATTTAAAAATGCAAAGTTTAGATATCAGAAGAGCTTTTCAATGTGATGTCTGCATTGCTAAAGACAAACTCGTGTGATCCTTGCAGGATTAGCTAATGCTTACATGTTAACCATCTGTTTCAGCTCGCCTGAGCTTAGCTAATTTTTTTTTAACTCCGGTCAAATGTTTCCAACCTTCGTCAACTGTGTTGTGTTTCCTACCTGTGCGGGGCAGCTGGCCTCTGTCCTTCTCTTGCAAATCCTCGGAATATATTGTTGCGGCTATTTCGTGTTTTCCTTTTTCCGAGTTCCCGGTGAAGTGGACGTTCCATCCGGAAAACCAAACATTGAGAAGTGCTCTGCAAACTGATTCTTACTCGCAGTCCGTGGCGCCCATTACATCATCAGCAAGTCCTTATATGGGACTCAACAGGCTCTTGTGAAGTGTGTGTGAGTGGTGAGTGAGTGCATGTGTGTTTTCTCTGGACTTCAGCCCATTCCAGATGAGGTCATTGTACAGCCATGCCAGAGAAGCTAATGGGAAGGACAGAGAAGACTTGTGTGTTTGCACGCAAAGAAAATCTTCAATCACAGTTAAAAGTCGAGAGGATAAGGATGTCTGTTTGCAGATTAGATTAAGCTAACGTGTTACCCCTCCTACCCAAATGCTGAGCATTTCCCAGGAGCTGTTGCTCTTTAAGAAGCATGGGATTTGTGTTACGTTGTGCATTTGCTCTGGCGTGTTTAGAAAAAGAAATGCATGTTTTCTGATTTGTAGCTGCTTTGCCTTGGGCTCGATAACCTGACTGAGAGATGACATCAGCTGTTCATCAGCCTTCAATTACACCCACATGTTCTTTTCCTCTCCTTCCCTCCAATCTTTTACTGTTTGTCGATCACGTCTTCAATTAGTTTGTTTCTCATTTTCCATTTTACTTGCTGTCATCAGTTTAGTCTCCATCTCTGCGTTGGACAGTCTTTTTCCTAATTGAGTCTGTGCTGAGTGAAGCGGGGAGGAATGGTTCCACTCCCGTTACTCCCACAACCGGTCATTTTATGTCACAACAAGAATCCCAAAAACGATAATTGTGTCCTAATTTCCCTGCTTGTTAGAGAAATGAACTGAAAGTGCAGTTAGAGTACATCAATATAAATTTGTTCCTTGGAGGATTTATTAGCATTGTGGCTACTTGTTCCAGCTTTCACTGGGAAATAAACTTTAGTGGTATTTCTGAGTGCAACAGTGTTGACTTGGATTAGTCATCACTTTACAAAAAAGCCTTTAAATGTGCTTTTAAACATCACTCTTACGTTTATGTTCACAAGACTGAACAGATAGTTTCATTGGTGAAAACAGGCCAACGTGGCAAAAGGCTGAAGGTTATAGGGGGAAAAGAATGCCTTCAACAAAAAGTTCACACCTTACTTTGAAGTATTACTAAAGCAAGTATCTCACTGGGCTGTAACCTTTGGTGATGAATTGTGAGTGCTATGGGGAGAGTATCCAAAATGTCTCAAAACATTTGCAAGGGTTCTTGGGTTTCCTCGCACCGGTAAAGTTCTGAACTTGTTAAAAAATATGCTAAACTATTTTCTGTTCAGAGTAATCACATAGTCAGTTGCTGTGTCCAAAAATGACAGAATTGTGGGAATACTTTTGAAGGGGTTGATTGTGAAATTTAAGTTGTGATTTATTGGAGACAGAAAGTGACATTTTGGTTCAAAATTGCAAATAAAATGAGGAGAACTCAGGATCAAAGTAAGGTTTGACGAAATTTGCACAAAGATTTTGACCGTACAAGTACTAGCATCTTGTGTTCAGCCTGTCGCTGAAAATGAGGTCAAGCACTCAACCAATTTGCATATTAAAAGCAACAACAGATAGTTTTTTGTAAACTTTAAGCTAGAGCTTTAACATTGATCTCAGTGATTGTTGGGTTACAAACTTCACCAATATTTGGCACCACTCTGCAGCCCCCTGCTGACTAAAACATGCACTTGATAGTTTTGTGGAGGGGGTAGGTGTCCTGGGGGGCGCTCTTTATCTGCTTTACGGCTGTTAGTTGTAACGCTAGCAGTTAGCATTTTCAGTTTGCCAATCGTCAATGAAAAGCACAAGAAAAAAAAGTTTACTTTCTGTGTTGGCATCATAATGGAGCCTGGAAGTAAAAGTAAGAGAGTAATGTTTTTGGAGGCAAAGCAAAGAGTTAAAACCAGAGTGAATATCGGTGTGGCCTATGCTACTTTGAGGGAGCTAAAGGAGGCTACTAAATCACGGGCTGATGGTGACCTGGCTTTGTTGCTACTGAACTTGTAAGTAACAATATTTTTTTGTCCAACAATGTGGATCATTTTACTTTGTGGTTTATTTTAGTGTTAGCAGGCCCATGTTAATATTAGCTCATTGTTAGTACAGCAGGCTGCTGCAGGGTTGTTTACAACAGTTGTAATTCCAGTTTCAACCAGTAGAGAAGAGGAGCAGGAAACTGCTCAGTTTTACTTTAAAGATGTTGAACAGTCATTTAATCATTACATTTGCAGTGGTCTCTGGTTGGAAGGTGTGCCTTGTAAGTCGTATTCGGGGGGCGGTATCTAGGTAGATGTCTGTCTGTCTGTCTGTCTGTCTGCCTGCCTGCCTGCCTGCCTGCCTGCCCGCCCATCAGTTCTTCAAACAATCTGTCTATCCATCCATCTATCAAATCATCCATCATACAGATGTCATCCATCCATCCGTCTATCCACCCGCTCATCTCATACAGTCATCTGTTTATCTTAGCTTAGCTTCACTATCTGAACAGTTTCCATCTATTTGCATAGGGCTCTATTGGATGGGGGATGGACTAGCAAAAAAAGAAATGACATATTGCCTACTAGGGGTGTTCCAAAAAAGGTACTTCACGATTCGATTCGATTTCGATTATGGGAGCTTCGATGCTTCGATTCTTCCATTATAATGGTTTTTGGTTCGATTCGATTACTGGTGCCACGATTCTTCAATTATTGAAATTTTTAATGCTTTTTTCATACAAGATTGTCTTCTTCTTTATCTACATTTGTAAATAAATAACCTATCAATCAGGGATGTGTATTTTTGAAATTCTGGCGATACGATACATATCACGATACAGGGGAAACGATACGATATATCACGATATATTGCGATACATTCAGTCAGACGTTACAAGCAATTTTTTTTACTGAATTTATTGTAAGAATGTTCAATAAACAGTCAAATCTGATACGTAACATGTTTAACATGCGGTATCTGAACCATGATGGAGGGATTTACATTTCAATGGTGGAAACAAAACCCGTTGCACACTGCTGCCAACTAGCGGGTGGCGATTGAATTGCACAAAACGAAAAGAAAATACACAAATGTTTGCATGTAAATTCTTTCAAGAATTAGATACATGGCTTTTGAATATCGATGTAATATTGCTGGAAAAAATATTGCGATATGTTGCCATATCGATATTTCCGATACACCACTTTTGAATATCGATATAATATTGCTGCGAAAAATATCACGATATATTGCCATATCGATATTTTCTTACATCCCTACTATCAATTAATTTAGTTCCTCTAAAACTACTCTCTGTAAGTAAATACATTTTTTTAACATTAAACTTTTCTAAGACAAATTCTTATTTTATGACTGTATGACGTGTAAATATTTGCACTTTGACCAACTTAACTTCGATCAGAGAAAGCTTTACTTACATTAGTGTCCCCTCCATTGTTGGGAAACACTGAAAACAGGCAAGCCCTGGATTTAATGAGGTAATTAACTCAAGTAAACAAGATTTTTACTTCCATCAAATTTATTTAATGGAAACTTAATGAGTCTGGCATATGATAACATTACAAAAAAGCAGCCATACAGATCAAATAAATAATTTCAGCTTATTCAGTCTGGAATATAGGCAACAGAAAAAACCTGACATATTTGAAGGTAATATGTTGCATTTTTTCAGAACAAAAGTGCATAATTCAACTGAACATATATTCAGCCTGGAGCTTCAGTACAGCGAGGCGAACACAACAAAATAGAGCAGAGTGACACTCATACTCATCTGTCCTCCCTCTTGTCCCCCTACATCCTCCTGTTGTGTGAGATGGGCAAATGTCAACATTGTGCTACTTTGACTCTCACTCATCTCTCGAGTTTGAAGAACGTGACTCACCAACTTCCATCCGTTCTTGTCCGACGTGAGAACAAAATGCGCCGTTACAGTAACGAAGGATTTGGTGGCAACTGATGTCCACGCATCACAAGTGAGCGCTATCCCGGTTGCCTTCTTCATGGTCTCCAGAACGCTTGCTTTGGTTTCCTCGTAGAGGTGGGGGACTTCTTTTTCTGCAAAGTGTTTTTGGTGAGGAATGGTAAATGGTCTGTATTTGATGTAGCGCCTTCTAGAGTCCTGGAACCCCCCAAGGCGCTTTACAACACAACCAGTCATTCACCCATTCACACACACACTGATGGTGATGAGCTACAATGTAGCCACAGCTGCCCTGGGGCGCACTGACAGAGGCGAGGCTGCCGAGCACTGGCGCCACCGGTCCCTCTGACCACCACCAGCAGGCAACGTGGGTCAAGTGTCTTGCCCAAGGACACAGCGACAGACTGAGCGGGGCTCGAACCTGCAACCTTCCGATTACAGGGCGAGCACTTAACTCCTGTGCCACCGTTGCCCAGTTCATAGCGCGGCTCCATGGTGCGCACCACTAACCGAAACCCCCTGTTGTTTACTACTGAATACTGGCGTAGATCCGTCGCGATAAAAGTAGCTAATGCTTTTGTAATGCTCCTCGCCTTCTCTGAGTTCTTCGGTAGTTTGGAGACAGTCTCCAGGATGGGGAAAGAGGTCAAAGAGGTAGTGCCACTCACTAAACAGTCCGGGCGGCGCGCGCCTTAAGGCTCCGGGTACGTGTTTTTATTTTTTTAGTACCGGCTTCGCAACAAAACTTTGATGTTGTTTTTTTAAGCATCGACGTTCATTAATCGATGCCGAAACAACTAGATGTATCGCCACATCGATTAATTGCACCCACCCCTATTGCCTACATTACATCACAGTAAGACTATCACTTTTACGGATTTTAAAAAGTCATACTGAAAGGAGGAAAACTCAGATTGTATCAGTTGTTTCAGATCTCACAGAGTTAAAACTTTGAGGATTATTTCTTCTAATTGTCAGTGTCTGACCTCATGTTCATTATAACTAATGAATGAACTCTGTTGCTTTTATTTTATTTTATTTTACTTTGATCTGATGCACTTCCAGTCCAGTGGAACATTATGAGCATCTGTGACACATAGCTGAAAGACGAGTCAGATGGTGGATTAGTTTCAGGATCAAAGCACATTAAGTTTCACTGTGTGCTGAACAGAATCCAGATAATCTGTCCTCAGCTTAATTTCTTACATCTGCAGCAATAACGGATGATGCATCGATAAGAGGGTCACATCAGTTGGGAAGTAAAAACATGAAGGGTGCTTTGTGGGTGCCCGATACCGTCTCTCAGAACTCCCAACAGATGAATGCATGGATGCCTTTAGTGTGTTGAGCATGTG